TGTTCCACCACAGCCAGCAGGAGGACAAAGTGATGCACCATCGAGTGCACCGACGACGGCGCCAGCAGCACCTGCTCAGGGCAACGTGGAGCTGACGATGCCAGCGGACAGCAGGAAGCGACGATCGGAAGTGGTACATGATAACGACGTGATGCCAATGCGTCAGAGACTGGGCGACGAGTGCGAGACAGCACCAGCTGATCAAGATCAAGCGGAAGAAGACCTTCGAGCACGACTTGTTCGAGCGCACCAAGCTTGGGGCACCATCTTGGGAGCAGTGGCGGCCAGCAGCCAGGGCAAGACCGACCTGAGGCAGCTGGACAATGTCAGAAACGCCCCTCTTCTACCTGACCCGACACCTGGGTGCAATATTGAGAGGCGGCGGCTTTTCAAATTGGACACGCGCGGCCTGGTTCAAGATATCTCGAGAGTGAACTGGACAGCCAACCCTCAGATCATCGACGATGTGGTATCGCAAGACCCCATCGCGATCATCGAGGAGATCACTCGTGGAAAGGAAGAGGAAGCTGGAGATGGACCAGGAGGTGGCCGACAGCTTGCAGCAGCCCCGCAGGGGCCCACCAATGCTGACGAAACCATGGAGGAACCTAAGGAGGTGAAGCGCGGAGGCAAGAAGCACACCAAGAAGGGTCTGAAGCTCAAGCAGACCAAGCGGGGCGACGCTCAGGGCGATCGAGCTCAGCTTCGAGTGCCTGCCAGGATCCAGAGGCACATGGAGGAACGCCAGAAGGCAGAGGACGCGGCAGCAGTGCCAACAGAGGTCCCGCAGGATCAGCCGGCTACATCATCGTCAAGTACGCGACAGCCTGCGCAGGGCAAGCGCCAGGAGCACCCAGTCACGCTCAAGGAGTTCTTGCTGGGCGATGTGCCGGTCAGCATCAAACGAGCCCGGGCACAAACTGGGCCAGCCAAGCAGCTGGCAGATGCACCGCTGCTCGTCGAGGCGCTCGTGGCCGAGCGGATGCGCAGCCAACCGACGAGAGCCAACGAGCATCAGGAGATCAACTTGAAGACGCTGGGCGATGACAAGCTCAGGCGGGAGAAGATGCAGCAAACGGTGGAGAAGGAATGGAACACGCGGTGCAAGCGCGATGCCGCATATCAGGAACAGCAGTCGACAAGGTCGACCCGGACAAGATCCTGAGCTCCAAAGTGGCCTGGACCGACGAGGACCCCACGACCTTCGAGCCAAAGGCCAGGATCTGTGGCAGAGGCTACGAGAAGGAGTTTGACGACAAGCTTCGACGGGACTCACCTACAGTCTCAGCACAGATGACGTTACTTCCTACGCAGCATCGTATCAAGCCTCAACTTGGACCTAGTCATCGCAGATGTGAATGGAGCCTTTCTGCAAGGCAAAGCCATCGCACGCGAGCTCTACTTCCGCATCCCGACGAACCTCGGGAAGTGCAACATCCCGGGAGTGAAGGCAGGTGACCTGATGAAGTTAAACAAGAGCATCTACGGGACCAACGATGCAGCTCGTGCGTGGTATGTGGCACTGCGCGAGACGCTCGTGAAGCTTGGGTGGGAAGGCCTGAGCTTCGAGCCCGCGACCTTCATCAAGCGCAATGCGGGGGGCGCGATCATCGGGATCATGTGCCTGCACGTGGATGACTTCCTCATGGGCATCAAACAGGACGACCCGGAGGGCGCCAATATCATGAAGGACCTGCAGAAGGATATCGACTTTGGCGAGGTCAAGTACGCAAGGAAAGAGCAGGCGACGTTCTGTGGCCGGGCCTGCAAGCAAGAACAGGACGGCAGCATCAACGTCACAATGGAGGCCTACGTGAAGTCGATGCAGACTGTACGTATCTCCAGAGAGCGCAGCAAGGCACCAGATAGCGCCTTGACCCATGCAGAGCATCGTGGACTACGAATGGTAGTTGGACAACTGCAATGGGCTGCGCGAGTGATATGCTTCGAAGAGGCCTTCGAGGCATCCCGACCGGCATCTACGCTGGGAGCTCCGACGGTGAAGGAGGACCTACAGGGCGGCAACGCGGCCATCAGGCGGATACAGAAGCGGGACGACTTGCTGATCAGGTTCTCAGCAGGCCTGAACCTGTGGGAGACCATGGTGATCAATGTCACCGACAGTGCTTTCGACAATCTGCCGAAGCACAGATCACAACGCGGGCGCTCCATCATGCTGGGCGACCAGAAGATCAACGAGGACCGCAGTAACAAGTACAAGGTGCACTTCATTGGGTGGCAGTCTTCCAAGATTCAACGAGTGGTGCGATCTACTCTATCAGCGGAGGCCTGCTCATGTGCGGATTCAGTGGACATGTTGATATGGACGAGGTCGACCCTGGCGGAGATTCTGTTCCCGGAGATGGACATGGCCGAGAATGTGCACGACACCTGCCCGGTGAAATGCATTTCGGCGACCGACTGCAAGAGCCTATGCGACGCGATCACAAAGGGGGGGATTTCTATAACGGACAGGGGGTTTTCTTTGGAAGCGGCTATATTGCGGCAGTCACTCAAGGAGGTCAGCATCAAGTGGGTCAAGAGCGAGCAGATGCTAGCGGACTGTTTGACAAGAGTACTTCCAGGAGGCTACGCGAGGAAGATAATTTCATCAAATTTGTAGACTCTTGGGCCTGATAACAGGGCACCATCAATACGCGGACGAAAGCTTGTTTGACCAGAGAAGGTGGCAGCCAACAAGGAGGTGGACCAGCTCAACGCGAAGATGGCCAAGTACGTCAAGCAGGAGCTGTACGATGACACCGGGAAGGACGACGAGGACATCTCTACGTGGCCGGTGGAGACGCACAACTACGTGGACTAGTGCTTCTACGACGACAGGGGCGAGGTTCAAGACGAGGACTACGTCGAGGCATTCTACACGGAAGAGCTAACGGACAACTACCTGATGGAGAGGAGGCGCGAAGAGAACCATCCAGATACCTGATCAAGTTGTAGTTCTGTTTCAACTTTGCGCGCTTGCAGTGTATGGAGTTTGTCTTTCGATGTTTCTACGGTGGTGACAGTAGTCTCTATCATCGCGGGTGTCATCATATTCATTTACGTAATGCAGCCTAAGCAGAACGACGACGAGGACATGTTTGATCCGATGGAGGTGGATAGTTCAAGCAGCGACAACCTGTTCAAGCCGGAGTTGCCCGAGAAGCCGGTCAAGGTCAAATCCAGGACAGCGAAGCCCATGCCAAAAAGTTACGACGACAACACTCGCAGTACGAGCCGATCCAGAGACCTGCGATGATGAGATCATGGGAGATGGACCAATCATGCTGGGAGATAGTGATCTACTGAGGCAGTGGCTGGAGACCATGGGGCCGACGATAATCAGGAGTGGCAAGTACGAGGGCGACAGCTATGAGACGATCTATACGAAGGACAGGCACTACGCAAATTGCCTTGGACGGTGTCTCAAACTGGACGCAGACGAGAGCAGGAGTCATAATCTCGACCCGAGCATCAAGGTTTACATTGCATACAGCATCATCAAGTCAGCAGTGCGTGTGCGCTGATCATCACTACTACATGTGTGGCGATATCTTGGAACCAGCCAAGGCAGTGGCTCAGATGTGAACGGTGGTGAGGATGATGAGGGATTTGGGTCACCATTTTCAGATGATGAGTGATGTTTGGTCACCATCTGCAGATGAGGGGCGAAAGCGCCCTCTCAAGAGCTCAGGTAACTATTTCATATCTTGATATCTGTTGCTCGGTGCGCAGACCTCAGGTAAATATTTCTTTTGTTTCTCAGTGTTTGGATTTCTTCTATCTTAGTATATGTTGCTCGATGCGTTGACTTCTTTTATATTGATATCTATTGTTGGATACACGGACGAAAGTTTGACCGTTCGAGCAGAGAATATTGGATTTCTTTTGTTTGATATCTGTTGCTTGGTGCACGGGCGATAGTTTGATCGTTCGAGCCGATAATATTATTGAATAGTCTAGAAGTTTGCTGCAGAATTTGCCGAGGCATTCTTTAGCAACGTTTCCTTTCGTGTGTGGAAGTTATATTAGCAATGCTGTGAGTTATATGATGACGTTTAGAACTATCTAGGTTCTTGCTCTCGCTCGCTCATGCTTGCACTCTCTTGTCCACTATTGCCATGTGTGGCCTGGGCCGGCCCAGCTGAGGCGGGAGGGTGGACGCACCTATCGAACGCTGAGTTTGATTCGGTAAAAGATATCCTATCATCTGCCTGTTTCTTCTTGCATCAAGAGGTTGTGGGTGGAGAGATTTGGATCAACATTTACAATAGGGAGCTCCACCGAAGGCCCCCAGTGGCAGGGTTCGCATGGCGGCATGGCGGCCTCGGGCCATTTCGGCACAACCCTCATGAGGGTCGTGGCCCCATGGAGAGCTCCACAGAAGGCGCCAGTGGCAGGGTTCGCACGGCGGCCTCGGGCCATTTCGGCACATCCCTCACTAGGATCGTGGCCCCATAGGGAGCTCCACCGAAGGCGCCAGTGACAGGGCTCGCACGGCGGCCTCGGGCCATTTCGGCACACCCCTCACGAGGATCGTGGCCCCATGGGGAGCTCCACCGAAGGCGCCAGTGGCAGGGTTCGCACGGCGGCCTCGGGCATTTTGGGCACATCCCTCACGAGGACCGTGGCCCCATAGAGAGCTCCACCGACGGCGCCAGTGGCAGGGTTCGCATGGGGGCATGGTGGCCTCGGGCCATTTCGGCACACTCCTCATGAGGTTCGTGACCCCATGGGGGGCTCCACCGAAGGCGCCAGTGGCAGGGTTCGCACGGCGGCCTCGGGCCATTTCGGCACACCCCTCACAGGGAGCTCCTCAGAAGGCGCCAGTGGCAGGGTTCGCATGGCGGCCCCGCCCCATTTCGGAACACCCCTTACACGGGTCGTAGCCTCATGGGAGTTCCATCGAGGGCCTCATAGAACGATGGGCCCAGAATGCGGTATCCACAACTGTTTATGGTTGGGTCCTTCGTCAGGCTGATTGTTGTTTGCTCCCCGAG